GAGCAGTCTATTCCTTACCCTTTTAATTTACAGAAATAGGAAAACAGAATAAATGGAACAATCAACTTAGAGAAATTCACGCTTCCCTTTGAATGCAGCTTCAGACAGCAGCATTGAGTATTTCTGTCTCTTAATTCCCTTTGCTTAAAGACCAGCTGTTTTCCTTAAAGTGTCACCAGAGCAAACCCATGGTAACAATATAAAGGTGCTTTCAAAGAATACAAGAGCTGCACCTTTCAAACAACCTAAAAGATGTCATTGAGAAAGCTCAATGTAATCTAAATTTCTAAACAAAATGTTGCAGAAAGGCTTGGGCAACCTTGGTTGCTGCCTTCTGGGTCTAAGAAGTCCAAGCAATTTTCTAGTTAAGGAAGGCTCTGGGTCATGTGTCTTTGTTTCTTTGTCACAAGTACTGTCACTCAATGGAAATACTACAGATATTTAGCATTTTCCAGAGGTGAAGAGCTCTATAATTTTGCAGGCAGGTATTTTTACGTAATGTACCATGCTGGTTTTAGAAGATTGTTTCCTTATTTTACAAGGCATTCCACAACAGAACATTTTACTGAGAGGTTTGTGGGTTTTGTGTTAATTAAGCACGCACCTTACTAAACCATAAAATGTGTTAAAACCACAGTGAAAATAATAGTTATAAGTTTCTTAGAGGTGCTTAGGTGGGTGTAGTTCCAGGGAGATGGGAACTGATGCCTTGTGAAGGCTGACCTAGAACAGAGACTAGACAGAGTTAAAGAATAAAGTAAGGATTTATTAAAAGGATCTCCCCAATGGGTCCACCTTGGGCAGCACAAGAGCCCAGCCAGGGTTATACCCAAGATGGACCCAAAATGGTCACAAAATGGACAACTGGTCACAGGGTCTCTCACTTTTATAAGTTCTGCTCCATTTGCATATCGGAGTTAATTGTGCAATTACAGCTTTAGGTTATCAAGTCCCATCCTGCTTGTTTTTCTCTCTCCAGCCCACGTTGTTTATGCTCTTGGGCCTGAGATTTGGATTATTTGTCCTCAGTCCCCAGCTAAAGAAGGAATTGTTTTGTCTCCCTACTCTGTGAAGAGAGCTTACCAACCCTTAATATGAAACTCAGAACTACACACTAAAGCAGCTCAGAATCTGAAAAATATAAAAGCTAAAACCTAAGGCATCAGTTGATTGCCCACAAAGGATTGAATTGATTTTATTGGTTTAAAAAAGAACTAGGTGTGAAGTAGCTAGTTTTGAGATTAGCTGTAGTTTTCCAAAAGAGTGAATGTTAATCCACCAGGTACCCTGTAAGAGATGAATCATACTATTTACTTTTAGTGGAAAAAAAAAAAATGTCAGGAAAAAAACCCTTCCATTTTGATTTTCAGCTAATATCTTTAAAGGCTTCCAGCCTGCCTTGTCTGATCCATTCCATAAAGAGGTGCTAAGAGATGGAGTTTTATCAGCACTTCAGGCGTCAGTAAAACTTCAAATGGATTGTTGTTGTTTTGGCTGATGGCACACAGATTAAACAGGAAGTTTTTTTGGGCTTTAGTGCTTTTAGGTGAGACAAGGAATTGAAGAATGTCATTTCCTTGTCTGTCTCTGTCTTTTTGGGTCAATAATAATGAACTTCCTTTGAACATCGTTGCATGCGTGGTAGGTTTGTCATCATCTTGAGAAGATCCAGGGTTATTTTTTTGTTCCAAATGTGTAACCTGGCTTGCCTCCTAAAGGCTGGGATATAAGCTACTTCTATGAAACTCTTAAGAATGCAAGTTTGAAATTTCATTTATGGCTGAAATTCCATCCGTTGGGTTGAATGCCATAAATAGTTTTTATTGACTGGGCCCCAGATCATATGGGAAGTGTTGGGATAGTGTTTGTGGAGAAAAATGTGGCTGATTTTTTTTATGGCTTTGAGAACATACATAATACAAACCCCATAACTTCTCACTCCATTACTCAGCTGAGAAAACCTAATGTTTTGCAGAAACTGAAAATATATTAGCTTTCTTGCAGCTGTCATCATGTATACTTTTGGGCTTTGTCTTTAATCTGTGGAATAATCTGTTCTTCCTTGCAAAATGTGGAACTGTCCTTCCCTGAAATGAGGCTGGAATCTTAATGATGCTTGGTGGTAAATTTCACCTCACAGCATCAGCTCAAAAAAATCTTCTATGCTGATTTTTGAAATTTAAAAATTAATTTCTGAGACAAGTGAGAAGTAACTGGTGCTAATAAACATACTGAAGAGGAGGGGAGGGGAGGAATTGGTAAGGGAAGGTGGAAAATTTAAATACTACAGTAATTGCTCATACTGTAATTTAGATTCACTTACTCCAGAAAGGTCAAATAACTATTTTAGCTTGTTCTGTCAGTAAATTGCTTCAAAAATTATAACCTGGGAAATGCATTGGATAAGGCCATGCCCAGAGTAGAGAGAACCATTTTACTTCAAATGTTTTCTAGTTTAGCTGGCTCCCTGTGCTAGAATTTTTGTTTGTTCTTAAAAGAAAGTAAATATAGATTTTTTTGAAGTAGCGTTGGCATGTTCCACATAATGAGGACATGAGATGGAAATATTATGATTTTATTAGAACAATGGGATTATTTTAAATAGTTGCAAGTTTTCCAAAATTATACAAAACTTTAACTTCTTTGATATTCAAGAACATTTTGTATACTTACACAAACCAGACTGTTTTGAGAAAGAATCTAACAATTTTTAGAAGTAACAAGATAAGACATAAGCCACATAAAACTGCAGTCTTTACTACCTCAAGAAAGAATTTCAAGATTAAAAGTAGTTACTAAAACCCTACTATCTATTTAAAAATATATGCAGGCAATAACCATTTTGTGATTTAGCGGATCAATTAATATGAAGTCAAGCTCTCACTAGAATTATCCAGAGCTATTAGTCTATTCTCCAGAGATTTTAGACTATATTTTTTTAAAAGATAAACTGTACAAAGTAGGCATTACTCAAATAATTAAAATAACAACCCAAACCCTATTTTTCCTTCCAATTTTAATCACCTCACCCAGACCTCCATAATTAACAGACAAGAACTCATGTCAGTAAAATACAAATGTTCTGAAAGACTGAAGTGATGCTTCTTATTCCTAGAGTATACTTTTAACATCTCTAAGAATCCCATGAGGTAATGACTGGAGAAATAAGATATTTTTTACTTGCGTTTAATATTACTTTCATTTTTTTTCAGCCCTTTCCTATTGTTTCAAACTTATTTTCATCCAGAAGTGGAAAATTGAGAAATAATTAATATTTTTTATTTAGGAAAGTTTGAAAGCAATGCTAGACGGGGTACTTGGATGTTACAGAGGTTGTCCACTTGCTGTGTCATGTTGCCTGGTGATGTTTGCTCTCCCTTAATGAAAGAGGACAAACAAAAACTCACCACAAAGCCACAAATGCAATGCTTATAGGGAAGACTACAAAAATTGTGCCTAACCAGTCTTTGTGATTTTGGTTTATCCAGTGTGAGAGCAATACTTCTTTCCCTGTCCTAGATTGTAAGAATCAGGAGGCAGACAGGAATATATGCCAACGTTTTTGTTTTCCAATGTAGGGGGTTGCTACATTACATAATCCTTTCCTACGTGTACCTATGGATGCACACATAGAAATGGGGATGTGTGTTTGCCTTCAGGCAGTGACAGGAATGTAAAGCAGTCATTTTAACATGGACAACAGAGACACAATGTGTCCCCCAAGCTGCTCAGCTGAAAATAGCAATATAGATCATCCACCTAACCAGTATTTTATACTTTGGAGGTCATAAACTTAGTGATGGGAGAGGTATAAATAAAGACATGCAAACTTTTTTGTTTACCTCATTATATTGCTACACCTTTCCTCTGTGTTATGTTTTTTCTTTGCTTGTTTTTTATTTATTCCTAGTTATACTTCAGTGGCCTACTAAATGTGTTCTTTTCAAGAATATTTGTCTTTCCTTGCTGCTTAATTCATCTAAATATTTAGACATTGCTATATTCTCAGTCAGTAGGCGCTTGGCTAATCTATACAAATTCATCTCATTTATAAATTATTCCTTCTAGTTCACTGCCAGCTTACATGCAACAGAATGCAAAGCAAAAGTGCTTCAAACCTTATCAGTCAGCAAACCAAGAACAACAACTCTTCTTATTAAAGTGTGGCAGCTTAAGCCAAAGGAATAGAAACTTTAATTTTTCATGAGGAATCCTAAGAGAATTTGGCAAAGCAAAACAAGTGATCGTTCCTGCACTGGTCAGCCTTGTAAGCGCTGGAGGTCACTGCTGCTTGTTTGCCCCTTTTCATTTCTGTTTGAGACCTGAGCAGTAGTTTGGACCTGGTGCACACAGATGGTGACTGGGAGAAATTGAAGTGGAAGGTGCCCCTGTGCCCACAGAGGACCCAAACCCTTGGGCAGTGGCAAGTGTACGGTAGGGAGATGTAGTAAAACGTGGCAAACCCCAGCTCAGGGAAGAAATGATGATGTCTGGCTCCAGATCAGAAGGCTGAAGGATAGCTTTATTAAAACTATATTATATTATATTAATGTACTATTTAAAGAGTTACTATACTATTCTACATACTTCTTACTTACCTATCTAACTCAAACCCGTGACTCTCTGCTGAGAGCCCGAGCCACAGCTGGGTCCATTGGTCACTGAACCCAAACACCTTCACCAGAATCCAACCCAGCAATCACTGCAGGTAAACAATCTCCACACCACATTCCATTGGGGAAAGCACAGGAGCAGAGATAAAGATTGTTTTCTTCTCTCTGTGCTTCTCCAAGAAATCCTCAGAGACAGAATGATGTCTCTGTGTCCAGAGAATGTGAACGTCACAGGGAGATGCACCAAATATCCCTTGGTTCTTTGCATTATATTAGAGCGTTGGTGGTACTTTTCTGCCTGAGGGACAACCTGGTGGCTTTCCAATTATTGAGAGCCTTCCAATTTAAACCAAAAAAACCCAAAAACCTATTGCACCGTGAACACAATTGCAGAATTCAAAAGCTTTTCACCATATTTTATTTTCATGCTTAGTTTTTTGATCCCTTAGCAGCAACAGCAAAATAGAACTGTGAGATGTGTTTGATCTTTATGAAGAGTTTTCTTTACTGAAAAGATTTAACATATACACACGGGTTTAAAGTTTGGAGGATTTTCTTCATTCAACAGACTTCCTGAAGGGGAAAACAGGTAAATAAATAGAAGAAATCTCTGAATTTTGCTTGCAAATATGCATTGCAGGAGAAGATAAATAGCAGTATGATTCATGCTTTATTATTTAGTGACTATCAAGCTTACTTCTTGAGATTATTCCTTCTTAGAGTATTTGGGCTGGGTTTGACTCAATGCCAGTTTAACTGTGCTGTAAGTAAAGAAAATTTGAGGATATTTTTGATATTTAAGAGCAGTGGAGTAAAGTCAATGGTGTGGAAATAACATCGGTGGGCAAAAATCCCTGAAATCAACAGAAATACAACAAAAAGTATTTGTGGCTTTGGCTCAAAACTGCTCTGTGTGTTTTTGAGGAAATTTGCATGCACATCAATGTGCTCATGCAGATGTCTGTTCTGTATTCAGAATCAACAATTGCATACATCAGCCACTGTTTTCACTTGCAAATAGTTACTGTGCATAAGGATTTTATAGGAGCTTTATGGAAACAGGCCCTGCAACAACAGCCAACAGCATCTCCTGTTTCAGTGGTGTTATTCTAGAATGATCATTACTGCCCCAGTTGCCTGAGAGCTGTCACATTTTATTTCTGAAATTGCAGGTTTGTGTATTACTTAGCAGTAATACACATCACAAACAGTGGTTCAGTCATGAACATGGTGTATGAGCTTAAAAGCCTAATGTCTGCCTGGCTTTAGCAATGCTTAAGTTTAGTCATTTGAAAAACATTAGATGGAACCTCAGATGTAACCCAGGCTCTCAAATCAGCCAAACAGGCCAGGTATCAGCAGCAGGATTTCATGGCCACTGCTGTGAGACAGGTCTCAGCCCATCTAGTGGGCCATAACTCCCTTTAGAAGCAGCTTATCTTCATCAGTTAGAGGATTCAACCTCACCTTTTGTGTGGGGATGAGCCCACTTATATCAATTTCCTCTGATGTGCTCTTAGTAAAACATTTTTTACAAAGAAGCATCAGATAGTTCTATGGGAGCCTGAACCTTTCCTCTGCAAGAATGCGGGAAGTAGAAGGGGCTAGACCAAGTAAGGAGGAGCAAAAGTGAAACTTTATGGTAGTGTAACCTTTTGTTTTCCTTCACTGCAGTTTAGGAGGCTGAGCCTTGCAAAAATGATAGTCAGGTTTTTTTGGCATTGTCACCTGGAAGACAAATTTTGACGTAGTGGGAGTTCTACACCACTGGTGGATCATTACAAATATTGGAGAACCCTCCTGAACCAGTCTTCCCTCAGGTCTCCCAGTCCTTCTGGGAATTTGCTGTTGGTGACAGCCAGCTCAGCTGGGATGCCCGTGCTGTCCCCGAGGGGCTGCCTCAGCTGTGCCAAGGAGGGGAGGAACTGGTTCCATGCAGATTGGACCTTGTGGCACCAGCCTGCCCTGAGTGAGCAGGCCTGGCTTGCAGCAGGAGGTGGGAGCCAAGCCACAGTGGCACCCCAGTCATTTACAGACGCATTTAGCTTGGGTTCAAACCCATAAACATAAAATAAAGCTGTGTTTTTTCTGAATCAGCTCACAGCTGCAGTGGCTGACTCTGCCCAACCAGCAGGCAGCCATCAAATTTGTCTTTGTCTGGGCAATGCCTTCCATTCCTGGATCAGAACAAAGAGGGGTTTTATATATCATTGACTCTCTCTGTTAGCTGGGAGCACAAACCTGGGCTGCATTTGTCACCCAGGCTGACAGAAAGCACATGGACATAGGTGTTCCTTGTTGCAGGCAGACACGTGCTGCTGACAGGACTGGAGAAAAATCTAAGGGCTGCTCTGATTCTTCATCCTCTCTGCGTGTGGCATTTAATGACACAACTGTGGCAATTTGCTTTTATGATGTAGAATAGAGGAGGTTATTTAATTTTATAATATTTGGATTGGCTGTCTGTGTCTATTTAACATCTTGGGGAAAAACTGGCAATCCTTTTGTTCATCAGGTTTAACCTTCAACTTGCAGAAAGGTGGTAGTTGCTCTGTAGTGCAGAAGCAGTTGGAGGAGCTTCTTGGTTCCTTTTCCACACAGTGCTCTGGAATGATGTGGCCTTGAGGTTTCCTGCTGTCAGTTCATTCAATGCATGCAGTCTTTGGCCCCACATGGAAAGCAGCTCAATTCTCCTGTGAAATGGAGGCAGAGAAGAGAAGGAGATAACTTCAGATAACATTATAACTGCCACAAGACAGATCCCTGTGCAGCACAGGAGAGCTGCAGATGCTCCTGAGGGAAAAAAAAAAGATCTTGGCTTGCAGATTCTACCCCCATTCCATAAAGACTGCAGGGACAGGGCACAGCAGCACTGCCCTGATCCCTGTGGTTTGTGCTGGGAACATTGGAGGCACTGTGAGGGCTGGTGGCCACCGTGGCTCAAAGGCCAGCTGGTCTGTGCTGTTCACGGGGCGGGCAACTGAGGGCATCTCAGCTGCCCTCCACTGTTTTACTGGAATGGGTCTCATCCTTACTTTCAGTTTTGAAAATATCTGGAAGGTGTTTTGGTTTTCCTTTCAGTTATCCACCTGTAATTTCATGTAAAATTGTAAGATGAGTAAAAAACCACCAAGGAAACTGGATGCAGGAATAGCTGCAAGCAGCACTGGTGCCTGAAAGTGAACAGGCATCACTGAGAGTGATCATGCATCCTGGCTCAGAGTCAACAGGTAGCACTAGGCTGGTGGGCTATTGAATTTAATAAGTGCTGTGTTAATCTTTGGTCTTTCTTTAGGAATTTTTCTTATTTCAGCTTTTTTTTTTTTTTCCTTACATTAGTAATTATAAGAAAACCATAAGTGCCGAGGTCAGATAACTGCCTTTAATTCCAAAGATAGTCAAACTCAAATGAAATTTCCAGTCAGAATGGACACTCGGTTCAGGTAAACAGTGTTCTCTTATCAGTGCTTTCGGTCTCTAATGTTTTTCATTCCCTAATTCATCAACAATTGAGTGTGAAATACCTGTCACATTAGTCTTAGTCTGAAAATACTTTACAGAGAATTCTCATCCCTTTGAAGTACATCTTGCTAATGGAAGCACTTAGGGGTAAAATATTTAAGAATGGGAAAACTCCTTGGCAATTCCATTTAGCCATTAATTTAAAATTACCAGTAGTTTGATGGATACAGGGGTAAGAGTAACCTGGATCTACACAATATAGCCCTCTCTAAACTAAGGATGGCACTAGACTATTCTAGACTGTTCTTAATTACACGCTGAACCCTTCCTAATAGAAGTTTGAGCAAACTCATTTTCCCATAGAAAACACTGTGATCATATCAGCAAATGCCATGTAGTGGATGGGAAGCCAACACCATGAGGCGAAGAGCAGTTTTCCTCCACACCCTATACATTAGCTGTCCCTTTAGTGGAACTGAACAGAACATTTCTAGCCATGAAAACTGCAAAACAAACCTTGGGAATACTTATTTGTGTCAGTGGCTCCTCTCTATGTAGGAAATCACATTAAGGACTGTCAGAAAGACAATTACCATGAAAAAGAACCTCTGCTGTCCTTCTATATCTCTGTTTCGTTCAGTAGTGTTTGAGTGAGGTTCTTTCCCTCCAGTTGTCTGCACTTTTCCATTGTGAAAACTTTCTGTGGTCTGAGGAAGAAAGAAATTAAATTGTAGGAAAGTGTTGACATTATGTTGAAAGCCTTGAAATGTGAAAATTTCTATCACAAAAGTCTCCAGTGTTATATAATGGCCCCAAACATCTTTATGCCCCTTGCATCTGCATTGTATTTACAGACATCTACCTTATTTGTCCTTCATAAGAATCCAAGAATTAAGCTCAAAACCTGCTTTGTCTCACTCCCTCTTTTTTTTTTCCTATTGCACAGTGATATTTTGCAGTGTTTCATATATTCTGAATAGTAGATATCATTCAAGTTCTTAAAATCTGGAGATAAATATCTTCCTTTTATTCCTTCCATTCCATATCTTGAGTGCTTATTATTCTCTAGATAATGAAGTAGTCACCTCATTTGGGCTTTAAGGTACAAGGACAATAAGAGTTGTGAAAGTATCAACAACTTTCACACTGGAAAGCCCATGGGATTGAAGTCCTTTGGCCTGTGGACTTTAAAAGACAAATCTGCAAGAGAATCCTTCAGACATGTTAAGCCATAGAAGGAAAAGGTAAAACCCCACACATTTTACACTCAGCATTGGTTTAATTGCAGTGCCATCTGTAGGAGGATTATTTAAAGAGGCTGACTCCTGAGTTTGAGAATATCGATGAGTTTTACATATGAATTGCCTGGATGAATTTGAATAGTGCACTGGGCTGCCATAAGAATTTAGTTTGTTTCCAGTATAAAATGCTACCTATTTTAAGGTGAAGTTTTTGGCTTGGTTTCATTGTCTCAGGTAGTAAATGATGACAATATTATAGGAGTGTGTCTATATAAAGGCATTTAATTACAAGTCTTTACCTTCTTCTGACTTCATGAAATAGTGAAGCGTCTGTTTCTAACGCTTTTACTTGATACTTGGCAGCAGAACTAATCCTAAAGCATTGTTTTTCTCATATGTGTGCTATTTTTTGTATAACTCTAAGCTTTTAAAAAGTCTTTTTTACCACAAATGTAGTAAAAAAATGTTTGAATTGTCTGTGCTTTTGACAGTAATGTTTTCATATAACTGCAGTGTGAGCTGTCAGCCAGTTTTGTCCAAAGCCCAGCGAGAGACAGAAATCAGATTCTGTTACATGAAAAATAATTTTACCTACATCTGTAGTGATTTTTGACAGCTCAAGTTGGTATTTAAATCTTAGACACTTGGGTTCAGTTTTTAAATGTCTTAAAAACATAGAGGCACTCAAGATATAAAATTATATTTCCCAAGCTTTTAGAGATTGGAAGACAAAGGAAAACAATCTGTTTCCAACTTAGTAAAACTTATGGGTGTGGTGGTGTTTAATATCATGTGATAAGGTAGGAATATAAAGTCACCATTTTTTTCGGAGTCTTTGCCTTACATTTTGTCAGGTGGCCACTCAAGTACAGTGCTCTTGGCTTTTGAAGTTACTGATTTATCCTTAAAAATTGTAAGAAACAGAAGGTGTAGTAGATGCTGATTAGGCAAGGAGCTGAAATATTCATAAATAAGATGGAGTATCATGCAAGAAGTTTAAACAATTTGCCTTGAGCTGGAGACATATTCAGTGTGGGTGAATAAATTTGTGTGATGCCAAAAAGAGACTCCGGAAATATTTAAGGGATTATTTGTATAAGGTGTGTTTTTTTGTGTCCATTCAAGGTCACTGGCTTCTTGGGACGAAAAAGTGTGAAAGCAGGGAGCAAAAAGGTAAAAACCCATGGCCCAAAGAGCTCACAATTTAAATCTCTCCCCAGGAATGGAGTGCATTGGCTGTTGTGGAACAGGGTGGGAAGGTGAAGCAGTGAAGTGAAGCAGTGGCTCAGAGAGCCATGTATTTTAATAGCTCTTCTCAACGTGTGCATATCGAAATGACAAAGGTTTCCTCTCAAGGTAAAGCTCTAAAATGTTCATTTGAAGTCTGTCTGCTCAGGCTTTGTCCCCCTTATAGCACTCAGAGGCAGAAGTAAATTAGTGTATGGGATGTAAAAAGGAGATCTGGAGTTCAATACTTATTAAAATATTCATTATTGTGTGTGAAAATCCTCTGTGTTTTAAGTTGTCAACTGATGCTAAAACAAAAGTCAGGGCTGTCTCTGTATAAATGCCTTTCAACAGGTAGAATAAGAAAAATAAGACTAACTTAATTATGCAAGGAAATCTACTTTGGATTCTACTATCACAAGATGTACTGCATAAATTCATGTCCCAGGGGACAAGAACTTCAGCAGTTCATCATTTGGAAGTTACAGAAGAGGGAAAAAAAAGAAGAAGAAAGGTCTGGGAGTATTTTTGGTTTACTGTGGCTGTGACCCATATATTTGCCACTGCCAAGAGAAAGTGCACTTTTCATTGTGTTTTCTGGCATAATCAAAAAAACCCCTGTAAAAGCCATTGATATGCTTTCATTTAGAGCAGTGTTAACAGTTCCCCTGAAACTGTATACATCCCTTTATTGGACTGGATGACAAAAACTGCCAGGCTGATCACAGGAAGGACAGTATCTCTGCTAAAGACATGTTCAAATAGCTTTGCTAGGCTTGTTTAGATTAACAAAATTAAAGTCAAGGGACTGCAAGAACATCTTTCAGTTACACCAGTGAAGAAAATACCAAGATAAGGCAATAAGTATTTGTGTTGAAATACTGACAAAAAAATGAATTAGTTTAATAAATTAAACTTGATTTTGGTAAAAAGATTCTGAGTGTCCAAAGAGAATAAGTCTTAATGAAAAATAAATAAATAAATAAAAGGGTAGCCATGAGTCCTACTCAGCCCCATGATGCTGGTAGTGGCTTTAGACCTGTACTACATGGGGTGTTTGTGGTGTTGGCTGTGGTTTCATTTGCTGTGGTGCATCTCAGCCCCAGCCTAGAGGGTGCTGGGGAGAGCAGAGTGTTTTCCCACATTGCTGGGCACACCTCACATTGCTGGGGGCTCCCTGGGCATGGCTCTGTGGCATCTTTGGGCACAGAATGTGCCCTGTGTGTGTAACAGGTAACCCTCCCCAGGAGCAGGCTGAGGTGCAAAGGGGATGGAACAGGCACAAGGGACACAGCAAATCTTTCTGCTGGCTTGAATTCACATTTTTCTGTCCCTCTTTCCTTTACCTTTAGCAGAGCCAATAGCCTGGGGCAGAGCAGTTTCCCAGCAGACTGTTTTTTTTGGCTTGGAGATTCTGTATGAAGAAGCAAAGCACATGCAGCCTGTTTGTACAAATCCAGCTGTTTCTCCCAAATCTACTGCTGTATTTCATTCTAGCTCTTTCTTTCCTTATCATCCTTGGTGTTATCCCTATCTTTGACAGGCATTTATACCAGTTTTACTCAAATTATATGTATTTAGGAAATGGCTTGTGTTTTAGTGAAATGGGAAGACATAAAAGAACACTGAGACTCACCTGCTTATTCAAAATGCTTTGGGTATATATTCTTCAGGACAGTTCCACAAGCCTGTAAGGGATTGACCTTCCTTTGACAGCAATGGTGCAGCTTCCCAGCTGCAAAACCCTGCAAAAAAAGCTGCTACAAGCAGAAATAAGAACCAGCTGACTGGCCTGTGGAAGCACATCAGGGATGTCATCAGTAATGTCCTTCCTGGAATCAGGAGTGAGCTGTCCCTATTAGGTGTAGGTGTATTTGCCAAGTCAAACATCATTTACCTGTCCCACACTGACATCACCGAACAGAGCTGGGGCTGCTTTCAGGCAATTTTATTTCCACAGAACCATTAGAGAGGAGACCCTGATTCATCTCAAGCAACAGAAATACCACAATTACACAATTATCTGGCGATTTAAAAATTAAGCTGTTTAAATGTGGAGGCATTATACCAATGAGATGCATTTAATCAGACATGGAACCAGCCCCCCCGGGCCTTTAGCCCATGTTAGCAGCACTCACTGTAGCGTGGGCTTTGTTTTGTGACAGGGTCACATTTCTCTCACCCTTCCATTCAGAAAATGACTGTGCTTGCCCATGAATTGTTGTAATCAGTGCCACTTAGAAATGAGATGATGTGCTTAAATGGTGCAGAAAGAATGATCATCCCCCAAAGCTGAACTTTAGACTTATTTTCCACAAACACCTTTGAATAATCAAGCAGTGACCATGCAGAGCACACTGTGCTGATCAAACCTGCACAGGCTTGGCTCTTCCCTGTCACACAGGGATAACTTGTCTCATATTCACACCCAGAGAGGGGCAGAATTTAAATGCTGAACCTGGAACAAAAATGCACTAGCTCAAAATTGGAACTGGGGTGTGTGTTTTACTTGGTATAAACACCACATGTCTGGTTACCTGCACTAGGACAACAACTTATTAGCATTGCTCTTATTAATATTATATATTTTTTTAGAAATGTAATGATTAAATATTGTAGAATTATATTTACAGAAATGTAATGACTTACTATTAATTACCAGCAGATTTTCTGGAAAGGTAATGGTTTGTTTGTTGCTATTAATTAGTATTAATTATTGTTACATTTAATAGAAATGTAATAATTTTTGTTTGTTACTACTGTATAGTCTTAATTACTATTGTACTATCATAGTTGTCACATTTTATAGAAATGTAATTGAATTTGTTACCATTAATTACTGTTACATTTTATGGAATTGCAATGGGTTTTTTTTGTTGCTATTAATTAGTAAGAACTACTTACATATTTATTAGAAAAAACATTATTTTAATACCACAGTTGTTATATTTTATGGCAATGCAATTTCTACTATTGTTATTAATCAGGTTAAATTATTAGTATTGGAATGATCTTATTTGTAATAATTTTCTAGGATTCTGATGTGTGTTTGTATTCGAGGCCCTAGGCAGTGCTCTCCCATCCGTTTCCCCTGACAAATCCAGTGGTACCTTCCCAAAGTCACCTCAGCAAAGGTGACTTTGCTCCCCAAGTCCTCTGCAGCAGTGAAAGGTGTGAGTTTGGTGTTGGTCTCCTCTCCCAAGGGGATGTTCCACCAGTCAGGCTCGAGGAATGGAGTTGGTGCTGAGCAGCTGCAGCACCTTCTGGAATTAAAAAGTGCATAACCTACATTGTGAGGAAGGAAGAAAAGGAAGGATTCTTTTCCTGATGTATGAACCATGGCCTTGAAAGATTTCTTGCTCTATTGTGTTCAATTCTACGAAGAAAGCAAAACCAAAAATTTTCAGAATAGCCAGAAAACCGAAGCTTTTATAGCTTGCTACTTACCGGAAATTTCTGGTAGCTGCCTTATGTCTTCTCTCACACTGATTTGTTTTAATCATTAAATAGAAGTGATATTTTCTTTGGAGCTGGGGATATTTTTCTTCTCTCTGTGAGACAGGTTTGTGAAGAGAGTTAATATCTTTTATTAAAGAAACTGATAAAGTTAGAAGAAAAAGAAGAATTGACCTTTCAGGCATGCAAGCTGGCAGCAGTAACATTTTTATTGCATGTGCTTTTGTGAAGAAGGCCTAAAAGTGAGAGAAAGCCTCTGGAAAGTACTATAAACATGGATAAGAATGCCTAATTCAAATAACATTTCTCATATCTAAGCTGCCACTCAAAAATCTCCTTAGACTATGGATCCTTTTACAGGAAAGAAAACTGATTATCATTTCAGAATAGTTAGAAATTTACTGCAAGACATAATATTACAGTGGTATTTAGTACAAAATTAACTTTGTTTCATCTATTATTATTTTATCTAAAAATGCCATTGTTACTGATGCTTTTATGCTCACAACTGTCAACTACACAACTACAGAACCAGACCAGTCTGTTCTATCTGGCTGTAATCTCCCTCTTCCAGGGCTCCTGTTTCAGAGCCCTGTGCATTTTGGGCTGTTTGATCCATTCACAGAGTGAGAAAATGGAAGCACCAAAGATCTTCTCTCATCTGAGAAGGCAAGAGGATGAAAAGGAGGAATGGCTGAGCAATAACAGCTCCTGAAAAAGTGTGATAAAGCTGTAAATGATTTGAAAATTTTAAGGCTGCCTTAGTGTAATAAAACTTAGAGCATCACTTGTTGTGGGTGTCACCATCATATTAATAATGCCTTGCTAGGAACTGTCTCATTATCGTTATTATTGATCAGTGATGTTAGCAGTCCTAACACCAGGTGTGGATTTGTACCCACCTTAGCACAAAGAGGGAGTTGTGTGAAGGATTGTACTGCTTTGGCAAAGGAGCCTTGGCTCTTTGTTGCCATGGAAAGAAAGACAAAAAAAAACTGTTGAAAAGATATAATTTGGATAAAGTATACAAATGGCCAAAGAAAAATGGAAAAAAATATCCATGCTATATATTTTTTTTACCTTAAAGACAGAGTATTATGAATAAACTGACAGAGCAGGAGAAATACACAGTTTATAAGACAGCAGTTCCCATTTCTCTTGTGCTGTGTTTGCCTTCAGTCTCAGCCACCTTCTCTTCCAAGCCAGCTCCTTTCCTTAGCTAGAATTGAATTGTTCACTATATTCAGCTTTCTTTTTGTCTGTAAACCACTTTAAACTGAACATTAGAGAAGAAAGGGTTTTTTTCCCTACATACATTACATTTGTTCCAGCCCACATTAGCACAAACCATTAAAACAAAAATGGCTAAAGAGGCACAGAGCAGACCCAGGTTGTGTCTTAGACTCTATTCAGAGGAGAGAAGTCCTGTGCTAGCCCTCAGCTATTTTCTCTAATACCCTTTTCATGTTCACCATTTAATTCCGGGTAATTCCAGGCAGAGCTTTCATCCTGGGGCTTTGCTTTCTTTCTCTGTGCAAAGGACTTTGGCTGGGTTACATGAAATCATGTGGCTAGAGGAGAAATTACTGATTGCTTCTATGCACACCTGTCTGGAGTTACAAGTAATAAAAGCAATTACAGGTTATGAACACAGAGAATTTGTAAAATAAATCAGACACTTTTACTACTACCACACCCAGCTACCCCAGAGACAAGGGTTTTATGATGTGGCACTATCAAATATGCTTAGCTTTATGAAACAGGCAAATGCTTTCATTTTTTACTTACATGGAGTTTGCAGTACAAGGAGCTCTAATATGGGAGCAAACTCTCAGGACTTACTCATCCTCTTCCTTCATTTTAAAGTCTTCATGGAGCTGATAAAATTTGTATATTACAAGTTATCCAATGTCAAGTACTGGCATTAAAACTTTCAGAACGAGGTCTATGTGCTGACATTTCTAAGGACACACCTGAAGAGAGGTCCAGCTTTCCCCTGAGCTGCAAGGAGGAGCTGCAGTCCCTCCCTCTGTAAGCTCTGCTGGATTTCCTGCTCTTTCTGGGCTCCCTGCTGCTTTTCAAACACAAGCCTCCTCCCAGAACACCAGGACCATTACCCACACCATACCTAAGGCTCCTTCCAGGAAATCAGCTCCACAGGGAACTTCAGGAAGAGATATTCTAATGCCTTCTTTCTGTGGTGATTTATTCTCCAAGATGGGTCAGATTTCAGCTCAATTCCCAAGGCATGACAAATGCTTTCAGGAGTTTGGATGTGTGATGATAACTTGACCTTCAAAAGGTTGCTCTTCCTGCATTAGTAGCGTTACTTTTAAGCTGCCAGAGCCATGTGTTTTGTTTTTCCTAAATGCACATTAGGCATTACCAGTTTCTTAGACAGAAAGAGAAGAGAAACAAGACAGCAATGGCCCCACATAGTGGATGAGGATGTTAAAGTTCACAAAAGTCAAAAGAAACACCTTTATTAACCTTGGCAGGATGCAGATCATACCCAGACTCATTAATGGATCATATAAGGTCCCACTAGAAATATTTTCTAAAGATAATGACTGAAATCAGATTTTTCATGCCCTAGTCTTTTAGTACAAGCCCTCTTCCAAAATTCAGCTGAACTCTGACCACCCAGTAGGGCTCCCGGTTTTGTGAGGTAGGAAATGACAGGCTCAACAAAAGTGGCACCTGCCCAGGGCCATTCAGAGTAGAAGAAAACAGTAATGTGACATGAAAAGCAGGCAGTGCAACAAGGCCTGAATAACCTGCAGAATTTGGACGCACAGTTATAAAAGAATTAAAATATATTTTTTTTTTTGATTGTTAAAGGATTTTGACACTCCAGTCAGGGTATTCAAAAACTTTTGAGCTTATTTAGGTCCCTCTCCCTTCTGCTAAATAGCAGGAGAGTGATAACAATGCTCGACTTCTCCAGAGCTATGGTCACAGATCAGCAGGGGAAAAAAAAAAAAAAAAAAAGGAAAAAAAAATTTAATCATTCTATACTGAAATGATTCAAAAATGATTCAATAACACTGAAAAGGTAAGTGGCACATGCTTATTTTTGTCTTAGAAAGACACTATAGCTGAAAATGATAACCATTTTATCTGCAATAATGCTGAGAACAGGAGTAACACCCACAGAGATAAATGGCTGCAGCAATCTCCCCCAATTACAGGCCAGCTGTTCTGTTCAGCACAGCTCCACAGAAGATTAAAACCACAGACTGGAAGGTAGAAGCAAGAAACCAGATTTTAAATCTCTACAGTGCATCACTGACCAGTCGCAGCAGCCTGAGTTTTGAAGCAGTACTGGGCCAATCTGAGTCTCCTGCAGCACAGATGGTTTGGGGATTTAATGCTTTGCTTCAAAGGGGCATGTGGGAGCTGGCAGTTGATATTTGTTTAGAAATATAAGTCAATCACAAAAAACATGAGAGAAATTCAAACTGAACAAAGCCATAGAACAGCTCCTAGGCACAAAAGCTTTTTCTTTAACACCTTGTAATTTGCTGACCAAGCTCCATCATCCACAGGAGCTGGCTTTGCTTTTTAGAATTCCCACCATAACAGCAGTACTTACAGGGCCCATTGTTAATCTGAAGCACACTGGGTAGCTCCAGTCCTGATATTGTTCTATTTGTGGCATTTTACAGTTGGTTATAGGCTCTGAATAGTTCCAGCCTGTAAACCACAAGCACAGACCCTCCAGTCAGTCAGAGAATTCTCATCTCCTGAATGACCAGAGAAAAAGGACATCCTCCTGGACATGAGTATTAGTGATTGCTGTACTGAGTAACAGGGGCAGCACAGAAAACATTCCCTTGGCTGGGTTAAAGCTGGGGGGTTTGTTTGAACACCTTCCTCCAGCTCCCCACATGGGCTTCCCCTGCAGCCCAGCAGGGCCATGGGGTGGGAAGGAGGGAATGATGCTTTTAGAGGAAACCCATTGGTAAGATGAGGAGCAAGATAATCACCGGATAATCCTTCTCACTGTAAATCAATCGACATTCACAGCCTCTCCTGGGAACAGCAGTGAAAATTACTTAAGAAAAATCAAGTGGCACATGATGCCTGTCTATTAATTTCAGTTTAAACAGCTGTGGTACATTTTAGCAACAGCTCCAGTTTCTAAGATAGTAGTATCATTCACTAACACCCCTCTGATATGTGTTTGTACACTTCAAGAATCTTTTTTGGATGCCTCAGGTTTTAGCTTTTCTATTTTTCAGATTCTGAGCTGCTTTAGTGTGTGGGTCTGAGCTTCATATTAGGAGATGGTGAGCTCTCTTCACAGAGTAGGGATTCCTGCTCTAGCTGGGGACCGAGGAAAAATGATCCAAATCTCAGGACCAAGAGCACAAACAATGTGGGCTGAAGAGAGAAAAACAAACAGGATGGGACTACATAATCTAAAGCTGTAATTGCACAATTAACTCCAATATGCAAATGGAGCAGAACTTATAAAAGTGTGAAACCTCATGACTGGTTGTCCATTTTTTGACCATTTTGGTTCATCTTGGGTGTAGCCGTGGCTGAGCTCTTGTGCTGCCCAAGGTGGATCCATTGAGGCCTCCTAATAAATCCCTACTTTATTCTTTAACTCCATTTAGCCTCTGTTCTAGGGCAGCATTCACAAGGCATCAATTTAACTTCAGTCCTTGCTGAAAGAAATGTGTTTTAGTTAGATGGAATTTTACTAGACTTCATATAATCACCATATTTAAAACATACACTATTTTTCTACCAAAAAAATATATTTTTTGTGACCACAAAACCTATCCTCACTTTCATCCTTTAAGATGCACTCAAGTCCCTCAGGAAAAAAAAAAATATGTAGGATTAAGGATCTCAGAAGGCAGCTGTGAATTCCCAGACACATGGATACTTTCCTACCATCAGCTATTGACACTGACAGTGTCTGTAACAAGGTAACTCCTGTGCACTTCCAGGAATTTCAAATGCTGGGGAAGTTCAGCAGAACATGTATCTCCAAAATGCAAATTCTCTGCATGTGAGAATCTCAGAAACAACTGTGCCAATTCAAACCAGCAAGTGAGTTTTAACCATTAATTTCTTCCTTTACTATGTGGAGGATTTCTTTCTTTACTATACAAAGGTACACCAGCCATAGCAAATACACCAGGTTTGATTTCAGCAGTTTTCACAGGGCTGAAAAATGTTGTATAAACAAGTCCTCAAAATGTTGGAGCAGAGAGAGCCATGGACACAATACCGAACAAATTGGAGATATTCGCTTCAAGGTTCACAGCTCCTGGGTCCCTGCAAGTGAATCAGCAAAGGCAAAGCCCAGTAAATAAATAAACTGAAAGCAAAGTGCTCTTCCAACTCCCTTTCAAAATAATTTTGCCTGGCTGCAGCTCTCTCTCCATGCTAAATTTCCACCACAGATCAGTGCTTTGTCATTTTGTCACCGTTTGAAGCACTGTCATTTTAAATTATATGACAGTCACAAGGAAAGTACCTGATGTGTCCAAATGATGAACCACCATTTCCTGCCAAAAACAATAAAGTGGCAACACTTATTTTCTGCTGGGTAAACCTCTTCATTTCTGTATTACAGAAGGCTTCTCTCACAGCTGAAAAATAGCACTTTAGCAGCCCCGGAACATTTGCAATCTTGAGATCCTCCCCTTTCTGTGCTCAGCCAGGTCTAAAAATCTGATGGGAGTGGGACTGCTGAAAGTTTTAATGTCAGTATTTTTTCCAGCACTCCTTCCAAGTCATTCATGGCTATTTAGCACATACCTCACAGAACTGTGCAGGGCACCATCTGCAAACGTGGTACAGATTATAGAGACTGCAAATAAACAGGTGTTTGTCTCATCATCCCACTGACCATTTGAGACATGACTGGAACAGCAGCAGCCCATCATCTGTGGGAAAAAATAACACCACACTGCAAGCAGCCTTGGTCCCAGGGACTCTTAAAAGTGAGGAATGAGGAACAAGTGCTCCAATTGTAGGCAAAAGACATGATTTTATCCCAGAGCATGAAATCTTAAAAGCATACTATTGGGTCAGGCTGAAGCAAACACACAAAGCCACTGAAATATTCAAGTACTCATTAGCATAAATGCAAACTGGAGTGAAACGCTTCAAAAGCTGATAATGCCAGGGGGTTTTACATTACTACAAGATTTTGTTTCATCCAAGCTTTTCTTTTATCATTTTTATCTGAACATGCAACATATCCTTGAGTTATTTCTCTATTTAAAAAATGGTGTTAAAATGCTTTTGCTTAACAAGCACTTGTAAATCTTTCTACACCAGACAACCAGAGCTTTGTTGCATGTGTTGCAGGAGGTTATTGATGCCAAATTCCTCTGCAGCTTGTGTGGCTGCACGTGAGTTTGCTGGAAGCAGCCTCTGAGCAGGGAGGATGTCCTGGGCCAGGGTCCTGGAAATGCAACCTGCCTCTGTGACTTGATATTCTTGGGCCATGCTGGTTCCTGGCCCCTTGTCACAGGTCAGAGTTGGGTTTTCCTTGGGGACCACAACAACGAGCTCCCTTCTGTTCTAGAAGATGTAAGTTCAGAATTTTGGGTGGGTAATTTTGTGAATGGCCCTTCCAGCTAGAACTGTTGAGCACAAGGAATGCTTCTCTTTCTTTTCTCTGTTCAATCAAGCGTATGTGAATTAGTTCAGCTGTAAGAGATCACTTCAGACAAAATTCTGAATTTTTCAGTTACAAAAAAATATAAAAAAGCAAACCACTTGGCAAAATTGTAGGCATTTGTCTATCATAGTATATAGTTTGCTTCCAAAAAAAAAAAAAAAAAAAATCCAAGGTGATCTACTCTGAAAGGATTTGCACAATTTATGATCTCTGAAGTGCTCACTTCTCGTGATAATTTATTTGTGGGGAATTTAGGAAGGAATTTTAGATGGGACTTTTGAGTTGATTTTTGATGATGTAATTTATTTTTCTTCTACATAGGTAGGAAGTGTGAGTTTGGCTCACATTGTTACAGTGTGGGTCAGAAGGTCACTAGACCCTTAATTACAAGACTTTTTAAGGAGTTATTGACTAATAAAACACTACCAACAAGTATATTTAAGTTTTTTACTTAATCTTTAAATATTTTGTCTTATGAACTTATGTCACAGTGTAAGCTTTCTTAGTTAATCACATTATGACACAAACTTACAGTACTGTATTTTAATCTCTTTGTTTACTTCTGGAATTTTTTTTTTAGTATTTTAAACTCTAAAACTTTTAACCTTTTTTTACTCAGCTTAACATGTCTCTGCTTTAAACTACAAATCTACATTCTTGCTTAATACTTAAGTACTTAGGTAAAAACTTAAATACTAAGTTTGGAAGCTTTTTTTAAGGTTTTAGATTGAATCCCGTGTTTAATTTTAAGCTTTGGCTTACAGGCCTAAACTTCTGAGAGTTCTTTGCATTTCAGATTCCAACAACTTCTAAAAAATACCTTTTTTAATTCTTCACCTCTTTTCCTCTGCAAAGGGGCCCATCCTGCTCATTTTGGAGAGGTGAATGCAGCATTTCCCCCATCACCAGCTGAGCAAGGCAACACTGGCAGCCCCAGACTTTCTGACAACTGCCCCTGGAGATGGTGTTCTGCCACTTCCCCACCTGGGGGGATTTCCTCTTTCAAAGCCCTTCAGCTGCAAAAATAAACGAAATAATTTCAAGAGTTAAGGCAGCACCGAGGAGCTGGATGAAATGGGTTGTGCCATGCTCTTTGCCATTGCTGCTTACAGACAACTGTGGTCTTCTCTGCCAGGTTACAGTGGAAATAAAACTGAGGCAGGATCCTGACTCATTTCAGGTTTCCATTATAATTTCTAATTTCCCGAGCCATTTTGGAGTTTTTTGTTTTTTTTTTTCTTTTGGACATCTGGTATTTCTTTATCTCAACGTGCAGAATTCCTTTAAGAGGTATTAAAGCAGGACATTTAGTTTTTCCCCCAGCATTACTGGCTTGCACTAAAGTAAACAAGAAGCCTTCTGCAGTTTTGTGGACTCTTTCAGTACTAGCAGTTGAGTAACATAAATTAAAAAGTATAGTTTAAGGTCTACAACAGTGGTGAAACAAGCAGCATTTTTCCTGTTTCCAGTTCATTCAGTAAAGAATCCAAAAAAAAAAAATTCTAAAAAGCACCAAACAACCTAACTTGCTGGACTTCAGTCAGGAAATAGAAAATAATTTCTTCCTCTAATCCCAGTTCAGAATCATTTTATTGGAAATTTAAAGATGCTTTAACAACAGCAAAAAATTGAGTAACAAGTTTTGAATAAGTTTTGACTCGCACTCCCTTTTAAAGAGGGGGAGTTTTTTATGCCTGGTCAGGAAAGCAGAAAGTAATGACTGCTTCATGACTTAACTAGAGCATCTTCAAACAGTAATTTTCCAATTGACATTTTTTTTTCTTATTTTTTAAATCAAATCCTAATCCAACTAAAAACATGTTTCCTTGAAATGCATAATGCTCCTTTACTAAAGAAACATGCAATAAAGTAATCCAAATAAAGGCTGCCGGAACACCACACGAAATAGTAAAACCTTCAAAGAAATAATCCTCAGACCCCCACAAACCCTTTTAAACCTGATGCTGCACTGTATTAGTCACTGGACATTTCTGAATGAGGTCACAAGCTCCCAAATCATTACAGAATCAGTCTCCAAAACACTTCCTACGGTTCATAAACAATCCAAAAGAATAATTTGAGTATCTTGAGGCTTATCCTTGGGGAACAGAGGGTGTTACCATGTTAGAAAGCCTGCACACCTTGAGCATCCTCAGAACAGCTGAGGAAAGGGTTACTGATACAAAACCACAAGTTTAATTTTTGGAAGCAGGGGATAAGAGAGGTGAAAAGAGGAACCACCACTTGGGTGGAGTGTTCTAGTGAAACCTAAGTTTCTCCATGGGAAAATTGTTGACATTAATACATTTATTCATTTGACCATAGTCCAAGCACAGTCTAAGGCCACACACACAAAACAGAAGGTGCAAATAAAATTCTGAATAATTTTTTCTGCAATGGCTTACTGATCAGACAACCAAGAAAGCTCCTTTTTGGAAGGGAACCAGGAAAGCCATAGTATGAACTGATTTAAGGGGTTTTTTTAAATGAAATTTTAACAGTTATCAGCAATTTACTTTTGCCTCAAACAGAATGTATAAAAAGATTTTCCTCTCTAAGAGGTTTCCATATATGCAAATAGTGACCTAAATGTAAGCATATTCATGACTTTCTAAAGTTTGAATGAATTACCAAGCTTTATCTTTACATTTTTCATTTTGAAGCTATAAAAAGATATTCCGTAGTTTTTCACACTATCTCTATGCCTGAAGATGTCTGCACAGAAAATCTCTCTGCACAGAAGCCAAATTTGAGAGATCTGGGATGAATTTTAGACAGTTCTCCAATACTGAGATCTTTTGCATTCACACACAAATAGTGTGACACTTCAAATGGCACCAGAACTGACTGGAACAGACCAAGAAGAAACAAGAAATTCAAATGCAATAACTTTGGGTTTTTTTGTTTTTTTTTTTTTTACTTAGACATCATATCAAGCTTAGTACACATTTCAGATAATAAAAAAAACACTTCTAGCCCAGAACCCCAAGCTTATGTGTTCATTTTAACTTTTTAAAAGTAAAGAATCCCCAGTCAAATATATCAAAGAGTTATAAAGAATTTAAATAAAAAATTTAATCCTCTATTGCATGCATTTTACTTTCAATATCTTCTTGTATGGTTTCCAGAAGTTAGATATTATAAAATAGAGGAACATTAAACTTGCCTTTTGTCTCATTGGACTGCTCTGCTCATTTCATCACTTTTGAAAGATGATAGATTTCAGCGTGGTATGTCATTAGAATTTGTCCATAAATCAGAATGTGTCATGCTCTTCCCTGAAAAATTAGAGGCCCTTTCAGCATCCCTCCTTTTAGCTAACAATAAACTATTCACATACCAGCAATCAAATCCTCTCTCAGTTGTCATCTTGATAAATTAAACAACTTGACTTAGTTCATCTTATCAGTAAAAAGAGCTTTCTGTGGCTTTGACAATGTCCATGTGGTTTTTCCTCTTGGATTTTTTATTTCCAGGATAGGGATATCAAAGCAAGTCTAAGCATGTCAGTAGCAGAGTATTAAGACACACATTGATTTTTGATTTTGCCGTGCCTGTTAGACAGCAGAGAGGATGAATACTGCACCAGGTCGGGAAGCAAAATTCTCAGGCTGATAAATATTAAGCAGCACAAAAGCTTGTACAGTATTACAAATTCAAGGTCCACTTGAATCTACTGTATTTTAGTGTCCTTTACCTACCTTTCTCACTTGTCACCTTTGCCTTAGTTTCTCTATCTGTGCATGAACCACTTGGTCTGGTTTACCAGAGAATTTATGTCCGTTACTGTTGAGAGGAAATAATAAAACCAAAAATGATGAGTATAGTAAAATATAAGTTTGAAATTGTAATTCAAGTCATGCTTGCCAGATAGTCCATTAACATTTTCTAAGCTGACAAGGTACTGCTGCTTTTACAAAGCACGAGGATTGATTTAAAACTCTGCTGACTGAGCTGGTATTCACTACTCACTCAAACCCACTCTGGAGATATAACTGGCATGTCAGATTTAGTACCCTCAGATAAAAAGAGAGAGCAAATGATTCTATTGTTGGTATAACCATCACACCACTGACATTTTTCATTACAACATTACAAACTTAGCTGAGGAGAAGAATTGACAGAGGAGAATAATAACTGAATTCTTTCTTCCAACTGAGTACCCTTGCCTTTAAAGTGTTAATACATCTCTGTTTAAAAAGATATAAAATTAATGGGGAAAGGTCCCCAGTTCTGTATGCAGAATGTCTTTGGAGCCAGAATGTCATGGATATTAAAAGGCTTGGGGTTGGACAGGCACTGCTGGAGGGTCAGCACAGCAGCACAAAATGTCCTTCCAGCCCCTTTTTAAGCTGCAGGGCAAGTCCTCTCTTGCTGTAAGTTATCTCGAGGTGTTTACCAGCTATTAACCTAAAAGTGGCTGTAATTTCTCAGCCTGTAATTACCAACAGTGACTAAACCTGATCAGGCACCATCCTGTCAGCTGTCTGGGATTACAGATGCACGGCACCTCTCCCTCTCTCCAGTCATGACAATTCATTAGTTCTGCTGTTTGAGAGCAGCTGTACCATTTGCTGCGAAGTAATTTATTCAGATTCCCTCAGAATTATTGCTGAAACGTGGGAAGAGGAGTGATTTGATGAGGCTGTGTATTTACTGTAAGATACCCCAGGCTGGATCTGTGGTCAGAAGTGATGGGAGATTATGTTTCATAAGAAAAAGCACCCTTTTTAAGGCAAAAAGTTTAATAAATTCCATGAGGCAAAGGACAAAATGCTTTAACATGTCAGTCATGTCTCACAGTGTTATCCACAAAACACCCCTAAAATTGTACACATGACATTCATTAAAATTTTCCTTTTCTGTCACAGGTTATTGAAGCATTCTTCTAAAAAGCCTCTGATTTAGTCAAAGCTGATCAAAGTATGAGAACATACAAAATGCTATGCTTGATTAGTGAACAGGGTGGGACAAGTAAAATTCAACAGACTTAACTGCAAAGCTAAAATGGAGGAATTTAGAATTTAGGGATTCAACTTGTGCTCAGAGAAATAACATCAATGTGTGTCTTCTGAAAAGACCTGGAATAAACCCACAACACTTGGAAAACACAGTGTAAAACTTGTGTCTCTTCTCTAGCCCCAGTGATAACACCCAGCCCTGCACATGGCAAAGCTTGGGGAGGAAGACCCTTGGGGAGGAACTTTCATTTTACTTCCCATTAATACTACACCAGCAGAGAAGTCACACCAAGCTGGACCCAAAGTCAATCTGTAACTTCAATAAAACACCTCACTTTTGTTTCATTGGAATAATATTTGCCATATTTCTTTCATATATACATTATATTACCACAGCTCCCACGACTGACTGGAACTGAGGATGCTCAGCTACTTATGATGCCAAATTTTCCTATGGATTTAACTTAGCCTTTCACCCAGCTTTAGCATTCAAATATATCCACACGGTGAGCACACTGATACATTTCCAGCAATGAAATGTCAAAAACATTGACAACCTCTTCAAGGTCTTAAATCCAATATCCTGTGGCCTCACTGACTTCTGGATTTTAATTTGCTATCCCAGTGCACAGTAATTTCTGGTTATCTCTGTCACAGTTTTAAGCACATCTCAAGATGAAATTTTGGCAGGTTCTGATGTTTGTTAAAAGCAGGTGCTCTGACTTTTTGCAGCTGTTTTTTTTTTCCCTATCTGTTCTTTGAAACTGGGCTCTGTGTGTGTGTGAACCATCTCTGACCATCTGAATATGTAGATCTTTTAATCCCCATTTTCATACATACATGCACAGACATTAATTTTAATCAGGAAAAGCAGGATGAAATACCAATAAAAGAGGAGTTGTTAGGCATGGCATTTCATTTATGGATGTAGCTGAGAAGATTAATGTTTGAGTCAGCAGCCTGTCCATTACCACCTTCCACTGCTGAGGAGCAACATCATGTGTAACTCACTCCTCACTGAGCACCAGAAATTCTCACTTGCCAGATCATTCTCTTGCCCTCAATTTGTCTATGCAATACTATTAATTAAACCATGAAGACCAGATTATTTTCAGTGAGGAATCCTGCATGATCCCTTTTCAGGGCACATGAGAAAATCAATGTACTGAAATATTTGTGTACTTTCTCTTGGTTAATACTTTAAATGTCTTTCATGTGTGACTTACCTGAAGGAAGGTATGTCTGCTCCCCAGGACTCTGCTCACTAAAAGAAAAATTCAAAGCAAAGGAATGCACCTGTGAGCTTGATTCAACTAAAGATTGAACTAATTACCTTTGAACACTTTATGTGGCAAGGGGTGGTTTTAAAGTCTGGTCCCATTTCATAATACAAAAAGCTACTTTTGGCTGGATACGCTGAGAAAAAATGATAAAATTGTTCTTACCACTATTTTACCTGGCCAAGTAGCAAGAACAGAACTGAGAAGCAAATTTTAAGAGTGAAAACTAAGTGAATTTACAAAAAATAGTGCATGGATAGCTTAGATAATAAATGCTTTTATAAATAATTATCCATAATCTAGAAAGAGTATGGAATAACATAGCAGAGGCTTTGAATGGAATCAGTTATGGCTGAAACACCCTTTCAAAGCAGCTCTCCTCTTCTGAAACCATCCTGTAAATTCCATAAGGATGGCTGTAAGCAGAGAGCACAGCAGTTCTGATTAAAAACCAGCAGGGCAATGAGGAAATGTGTTAGCAGGAGCTTCATTTGTTCTGATTACCAGGACATTGGCCTTACACAGGCCTTAACATGTGTACAGGGAGGAAAAAACCAAACCAAATCAGCAGACTGAGTAGAGAACAACTCTATTGCTCCCCACCCCTCCACATTCAGGCATTCAAAAAAATAAATCTATTTAAGTAGGAGGAGAAGAGAAAGAGAAAAATTAGAGGAATCTCACAGAATCATAGAATATTTTGATTGGAAGGGACCTTAAATCTCATCTAATTCCAATCTCTTGCCATGGGCAGGGACACCTTCCACTAGACCAGGTTGCTCAAATTTCTATTCAGGTTTGCCTTGAGCCACTTGAAGAACCCACAACTTCTCTGGGCAACCTGTGCCAGTGCCCCACCACCCTCTGAATAAAGAATTTCTTCCTAATATCTAATCTGGACCTTGCTTTTCTCATTTTAAAGCCATTACTCCTTGTAGGAGAAGGGAGAATATAAGCAGATTTGTTTCCAGACATAATTTCCAGAATGATTATTCTACAACTGAATTAGGAACTGATCCTTAGTGACTTGGGTCCCTTTTATTCTCCAACCTCTCTATTCACACTGCTAAATTAATTTTCTGCTTCTAAAATGAAATGGGAAAACATACTTTTTAGCGGAAAAATCATTATATATCAAGTACAACACTTGGAAATGAAGAAAAATCCATTTTATTTTAATGTCTTTTAAACAGGGTGATACCTTTGAATTTTACCTCAGGGGAGCATTTTAACAGATCTAAAAGAAAAAAAAAAAAAGCATTGCCTAAGTTGCCTAGCACATAGGGGGATATCCCTAAGAAAGTATTTATTTCCACACCAGATTAGAGGGAAAACAAAGGCTAAGCAGATATGATATGACACCTGTGGGTGTGAAAAAGGGAACATTAAAAGAAGATTATATTTTTTTCCCCATGAATGCAAATAGATTCATAGCAATAGTTTTGATGCTGTCTTGTGTTTAAAAAAAAAAAAAAAACACTGTAAGTGCAGAGATCAAGGGTATTTTTTAACACCTCAGAGAAGGAATTTCCTCTCCTAGGTGATTCCCAGAACAGAAACCACGTACCAGCACGGGAAGTGTTATCCCAGTAATCTGAGCTCCTCCATGTGCATCATGTATACAGTAAGATTGGCAGGAAAAACCCAACCCTTATTAACTCAAATCCATTATTTGCATCACTTATGAAACCTCTGAAATTCAGAGGTGCTAGACTCGTTCAGTCACTGCCAAGGACTTCATTCCTTTACTGTGGATCCTGTTCAAAAGACTGTGAGAAAATCCACCAGGCTCAAAATAGAACAGATTTGTTTGCACTACTAGCAAGGAGTAAAAAGGCCATCCCTGCTTTTATCAAATGCTGCCTTTATTTCCAGCAATGTTTTGTGTATTTTAAGTACCTAAGTACTTCACTAAACACTTTTCTACCATCTATAACGGATCAATATCACAAAACTTCTTGACACCCGTTACATTTTTCAGAAGGGGAATCTTCACACTGGACTAGCTTGACTTGGGAAAGCGTTACTATAGAAAATCACTGGAGAATGATTTTGTTGGCAGTGAAAAATAGGTTTCCTGAGCTTCTCTCTTCGAGGAAATGCACTGGCTGCCACCAGCAGGTATTTCAGCACAGCTTTTCCCCCTCCTCACAGTCACATCCTTTCTGCTGCTCCAAAATGTCACACACTCTGCAGACACCTTAACATCTGCCTCATTTCTTGTTATTAGAATTGTCTCTGGTAACAAAAAAGAAACTCAAAGCCAATTTTTCCACCAGGAGTATCTGTCATCACCTTGGACTTCACATGCAATGCACTTGGAAAATGCAGGGCGAGGTGTCTGACATGCAGGTTGCTTGACCATAAAAATCTCTTTTTCTGCCATGCCTATTGTGCTGAACAGAAAATGAGGTGTTTGTGCTGAAATAGAATGTGCTTGTTTGCGGATAGGAGTCAACATGTTAAACAGCTCCCTGAAGCATTAAAGAGAGAAGAAAAGTGATGATCCCAGGGAAGAAGCAATATCACAGGGAAAACATAAAGCAACACCTGAAGAACCACACCTTTAAAATATTTTTTTTATAAATTGATGCTCTACTGGAATTAAGGAGACTAAGGAAATCTCTGCTCCTCACCTCACACCTGCACATAAGGATGAGCAGTTCAGTTGTGGGGTGACCATGCTGGGACTGTGCTGGCAGTCCCTGATCACAAACAAAAAGCATATCCAACATTAAATACCACAAAAAAAAAAAAACATATCCAAAATTAAATTTTCTACCATTCAAATAATGTGGCAGAAGCAAAGATGCAGTGCTCTCTTTAAAATCCAATTTTCATAGAAAGGGAACATTTATTACTTTTAACAAAACATGGTTTAGACAGATCAGCACAATTACAAGTCAGACTACCAACAGCATCTGGTACTAGCTATCAGAATTGTCCTCTAAAAGAAATACCTGGAGATTAAATGCAAAAATCCAGCCCAGTACAGTTTATGAAGTATAATCAAAACTCAGTGTGTGTGACTGATGCCCCTGCAATACACCTTTACCCACATCCATCCCCGAGATAAGTTATCTTGGTGCCTTCAGAGGGCTCATTCTCTTCATATTTTTAAAGAAATCTTGAAAGTTCCAGAACTGGAAACTTACTCTTGTTTGAAAACATTGCATCAAGAGCCCTCACCAGAACCAAGCCCACAGCTTTTTACATTTTCTGTACCTGCTGCCCCATGCAGAGGACAACTCAGTGCAGCTCTGAGCCACTCCTGGTGTCACCTGCATCACCTCTGGGCTCTGACAGCCCTTCAGGCTGGCTCACCTCCAAGTGTCATCCCTCAGCCAAGCTTTTAAAATTACCTAATTATGACCACTATTATTTCTACAGCTCCTTTGATATAAGAATTACAAAGTGCTTCAATAAATAATTCCAGTTAATAAAAAAGGGGAATTTTTTTTTTTTTTTTTTTTTTTTTTTTTGCTAATCAAGCCATCAGGTTCTCTTAAGATGCAGGTGTCATTCTCATTCCTGCTGTAGGCTCCCTGAGTGATTGTGATGAAATTATTTGTCTTCTTTGTGCTTTAGCTCTCTATTCATTAAACTGAGATAACAGCACTTCCTTTCTCTGACCTTTTGTGCGTTTTCTCTGAAGTCTATTGTAAATTTTACTGGGCATGTACTGTATCTTATTATGTGAAAATTCAGTATCTATTAAAACCTTCATTTCAGTTGGAATCTCAAACAGCAAGAGAAGAAATAATAACATACAGACATTTCAGGTGGAATAAATGTGTAACTTATTAATTTCTTTTAAAATACAACACGCTCCAGCTGGGAAGTTTTAAGATGAATGACAGTATAAAATAGATATTTTAATTCTGTGCTTTGTAATGCCACATTCTCTTACAGGCATCCAATATGAATGTGGAAATCTCTCTTAGAATCTCTAGATATTACTTCTAGCAACCAAAGTAGCATTGATTACCCCATGTATCCTTCTTAAGCCCTTCATTTTATAGCCTGAAAGTTATTTTTAAGACACAATCTTGAAGAAAGGAATCTTTGATACAGCTGAAATCCTCTAAAACAAAGGCAATAGACAATGAATATTTAATGGGTGATTGGCTATCATCTCAGGATTGATTTGCTAAAAAACCCAAAAAAACCCCAAATCTCCCAAACCACCCAAATAAATCAAAGTCAACATAAGCAGAAACAAAACAAAGAGTCCTGACTGGGGTTAGAGATGTTCAGTATCATTTCTGAGACTTAATTTTCTCGAGGAGAGGCCAGCAGAGATGGTTTCCAGAATCCTTCTCTCCTCAGGTGGCTGAATCCCAATGCCAAGTGCCAGCATTCCTGGGATCAGATGGAATATTCCCTTCACTGACAGATTTTGACCACAAAACAATGTATAATACACACCAAGAAATGAGCAAGGATGATGGGAAACCCCAGGCTGACCCCTGGCTTTAAGCACTTTTTATTTTGCTGTATTGCAGACCCTAGTAATACACAGAAGGCCACTGGGAAGCTGCACCTTCAGGATCATGAACCTGATGGATTAAATATTCTTTGTCATTGACTTGTACTACTGAAGAAATAAAACTACTCTGAGTAAAACTAAATCAGGAGGATGAAAAGTCATTTTTCCTGAAAATAGTCCTTTCCTGTCCTACCCTGCTAAGCTTAATAAGGAAAATCTTTTTTTTTTCTTTTTCCCCCACCTCTCCTCTCAGAAAATAGACTCATCATTTCATTTTGCTTTGTTGCTCTTGTTTTCACCTTTGCCTGGAGTCAATCTTTGGATATGAAAGGCTTTTCAGATGCATCCACAGAAGTCAGCAGTGCTACACTACATAGTACAAAACCAGCTGCAGTAAATTGATTTCAGTGTTATCCCTTATTTCTATTGTTTAATAAAAAAAAAGAAATATTTTCTATGACCGCTTTTCTTAAGGATAAAACACAGAGATGAAGA